TGGCAGCAGAAAGAGGGATTGTCTAATGTAAACTTATAAATAGGACTTTGTGTGAATTAACTTACTCATTTTATTTCCTTATTTTCTATTAAATTTTTTTCGGCTTTATTCTACCCATCAAACGGGCAACAAAAAATTCAGCATTTTAATTCAAATTGGTAAAAGGCTGAATAACCTTAAAACTTCAGTAAAGGAAGTACAGGAGACTGTGAGCTAGCTTGAAAAAAGGAGGGGGGGATAAAACAAAAACCTTATGTAGTGGAGTGTTGGGATGAGATGGGCGTCCTTCCTTTGTCTCCACCTAATTCCTGATGAAGTCAGAACCATGGCATCCTGCCCCTGAGTGAATTTAAGCAGGAGCATTATCTAGAAATGGAGAGGTGGCATCAGAAAGGCCATGAAAGGTAAGTGGAAGGCAGAAAGCGTTAGATGAGAGCCTTTAAGACCACTGATGGTTACCCTTTCTAAGCCCCACTTAACTTACTCCTGGAACCTAGTATAGCAATCGTCTTGGGATGTGGGCCCAGCATGGCTACACAACCTACCAGCAACGGTCTGGGGATGAGGATCCTGACCTCACAGAGCTGAGCTTTCTTTAACCATTCTCTGGCCCAGCACTCAAAAGGGAGACAAATGTGAAAACATTTGTTTTCTTAATCTCATTGCGTGAGACAATTCATTTTCTTTGCAGGAAAAACATCAAAGATTATGATGTCTGCTGTTGTACAGGGAAGGATTTTCCAGAGTAAACATAATGTGATATAGATGTCCTTAGGTATATCAGTATCCTGGGTTCAGTGAGTTGCCAAAGCAGCCAAAGCTTAGAGGGTGTGTCTGTTCATCTCTACTCAATTGGTATCCTGAGTGAGATGGTTCTGGGGCTGATTTGAATGAATAAATACTGGAAATTCCCCAGATCTCTAAAGATGCTGAGTGGCAGAGGTGCCTTCTTGTGAACAGGTCTTTACTGAACAGTATCCTGCCTTGATCTAATATTAACACAACATTCATGGAAAGGTTAGGGAACTTAAGCTGTTATCACAGCATGCTTCCTACCTCTCAGCGCTTTAGTGAGATCAGCCTGGGCCATTTCAAATATTCCAGCATGAACTTATAGATACCAAGAAATGGAATGTAGATGTGAATGGCCCCTGTTCACCTCATCTGCACAGGGTAGTGAACGCTCATTATCCATGCAGTCTTTCATTCATGGATGTCTGAGCTCAGGAGCAGGTTCTTTGGTCTTGGAGGAAGAAGCAAAGGTAAAGATCTGACTTGTCATCAGAAGAAGCAGTGAGTGGCTCCTGTCTAAGAGTCCAACGACTTGACTTTTTGGCACAGCTCTTGTCTGGACTAGCCGTGTAACCTTGGACAAACCACCTAATCTCTTTGAGACCCAGGTTATTCAGTGGTCAGAAGAAGAGTTTTAACAGGCTGGTTGCTGAGGCCAGGGTCAGAATTAGATCTCAAGATTCTCTAACTTGAGCAGGTTCTGTAAGGCACAAGAGTGTCACAGTAGATTATCTTTGGTGTTGAATCAACCATGATAAATTCCTACACTTTCAGAAAAAATCAGTAATGTGGGCCACAGTTCATGGTCTAAAATTGTATGGATAGTCTTTTATTTTAACTGATATAAA